TTAAATCCTTAACAAATATTTTTACAAAATAAATTATAAATATCAATTCAAAAAGTTACAAGCAAAATTTTTTGCTACAACTTAAAAATTACATTTAATATTTAAATATGTATCTATAATTGAAACTCTTATATTTGTAATAATTTGAATTGATATTTTAATTTTTTAAAAAAAAATCTCAAAGACTTAATGAGTATTAATTTAATATTTTGAGACCTACTATCATTCTTCTTAAAAAATTATCTTTGCTCATCAGCCTCCCATGGGGAAAAAAGGGGAGAGGGATTTGCTAGATATACATCTTCCATGACATTTTTTTTTGGTAATACAACAAGAATAGAACTGCTCTAAATAAATTACCCCCTCACCTTTTAAGAATGAAAACGACATCTTAAATTCAATTTAATCAATGATACTTATTCAAACTTTATTGTAATTCAAATCAATCTTTTAAAAACTTCAAAATAGGAACACTATTCAAGTATTTACTCCACGCACAATGCATGAAAAAGTTAAACTTAAATAATGGTCAAATATAGTGCATTGTCTAATTTTTTTAAAAAATATGTTTAAATATTTTAGAGATCTATTACATTATACTTAAATGTTGATCACAATCTCAATCAAAATTTCTTCAACACACTGATGCATTGCAACATTTCTTTGCATCAGCAAAACAGCCCTAGCACAAATACTTTAGTTAGATTTACCTAAACCACAACAATCAAATGGTGAAAAAGATAAATCCCATAATATTTTGTTGATGATCTATTACCATGAGTGACAATCCTAAACACTGGCCTGAGTCTGGCCAAATCAGAAAACAAAGCTTTTGGGTGAATTCCATCATCGATAGAAATGATGAAAGGCTTGCCAGAATTGCATTGTTCTTGTTTTCCCCCCCTCAATGTTTACCCCCTTCTCTTCTTTTAATTATCGATCTCTCTTTATATAAGTAATTTTTTCAAAAACAAAAATTCGTTTGCATCATTCTCTTTCCCATCCCCTTTTTTTTCTTCCCTTCATTATTTTATCCTTTTTATTTTCACTATCCAATTTTATGCCTTCACTTATTCAACTCAGCAATAATCAAAAGTTACTCTTTTTTTATCTTTATTTCTTCTAACTTTTAACCTTATATTTATCTTTTTTATTTGCTTCATCATAAACTTACCTTTTTATTTTGGAGCTTTAGCGTATACAATTATTACCGACCATTACTAAAATGAAAAATTCAAATAATTTATAACCTATTTTTATTTGAACTTCAGTATTTCATTTTCTACATTATGAAATCTTTCTTTTTATTTTATCAAGATTAAAATGAATAATTTATTTAATTTTAAGCAGTATTATTTTTGTTTTGACCAAAATAAAAACAATATATGATGATTAAATTAATCATTAAGGAAATCATTCTTCGCCTCATCATGACTCATTAATATCAGTAATATGAATTAATTACCTCTCACTTTCTTTACCTTTTCCTTTCAAAATAGGACACTTAAAACAGAGCCGCCTATGTCATCTTGATCAACTCAATTAAGTTGGTGGCCTTTTGATTCTTTCACGGTACCATATAGGATCCCAATTAGCTTCAAACCTTGCTTACTTTATCCAAAACTCAGGTTGCATGGAGATTGAAGTAGCAACTCAAATTTAACATGCAAAGAGCGAGCATAGAGTGAAGCCTTCTTATTACCAATGCAACCTGTAACAATTTTCTTTTTCACAGGTGAGACTTTAAGGTGCAAAGTGCAGACTTCCTTTTCCAAGTATATGAGATGGAACATGAATATAAGGGGCTTTTCCAATTAGCTCTCTCCCCTACTCTGTTTTTTGGCTATAGATTCAGAACCTAATGTCACTTTAGTGCTATCTGGTTTCCTATCCCTTTTTTTTAATTTTTGGCCAAAGTTTCATGTCCCTATTTAAAGTGGAAATGTAAAAAACATGTCAATTTAAAAAATCTTAATTCAGCGCATGTATCCAAATAAAACTTAAAAAAAGAGACCCTTTATATGATAGCTTAGTATATCACAAATTAAATTTCAAATTCATGTTTGACCCTCCCCAAGGAACAAGTAGTTAATTATTATAGGAAAATTGATATGACTGGAGGGTCCTCGATACTTGAGTGCAGTCAGATTATAAGCTCTTGGAGCTTTTTCTTCCATATCATAACCCCCTGCAATCAAATATTTGGACTGACTTGTACATATAGACATTAATATAGACATTAATTTTCCATTTTTGCTAGCATCGTGAACAAAAAAAATAATGCATATATATATCAACACAGTCTACTAAACTTTGAGAATTTCAACAGAAAATAAATATCCAGAAAGTTTGCCATTTTACTTTTTCTATTTTACTAAAAAAGATTAAGACATGTCATATATTTGAGTCATATCCCTGATTCCATGTGACAAAAAAAAAAGTCAAATCCCAGAGCAAAGAATACAAAACTAGTGAGACAGACATGACTACAGAATTCAGAGCTTTTTAGGTAAACACACACACACACATGACCAAGCACATCATGAAAACAAACAAACAAAATGAAAAAAAGAACTATTAATTAAAAATATTGAACTCCTATAAAATAAAGGTTCAAACATAGTCCTTGATATCAGTTTCCCATGATATATAGGCCTCAGTTCTCAAAATATTTAAGTGTAAATTGCATTTAAATCTTTCCATACAAGCATTTTCTTTCTTGCCATTCAAGCATAATCTTGCCATCTACACTTTGCCTTCATGCAATCTCTAAAAAGATGTAACTCATTCTCCACATTGTTACAGCCAAAAGGGCAATAGTTTGTGCTAGAAACTACATTTCACAAAATTGGCATTATCACATATACTACTAAAATAAATTAAAAAAAAAAGTTTCTTTCTTAAATGAAGCGAAACATGGTAAGTAAAATAAGACAAGAATGACCTGCACATGTAAAAAAGTTAATGAACTTCTAAATACTTTATACAATAGTAGTTTGACTTCCTAGGGGGTGAAACAACATAGCATCAAAATGGCATTGGTTGGGAGAAGTGAATGGCAAGTAGCACAAGATATAAAAGTTCTCTTAACAAAAGTCTACAATATATCATCAAAATGGCATGGAGTCTTAAGAAAAGCTGACATTACTTTTTATACATGAGAGTAAAGAGTCATTTGTTCATTTTTATAGTTAAAAATTAGTATATTATATTTAAAGTTGATGCCTCCATGTCTATCTAAGGACTCTCGATAGTTTAGGCATGGAAACACTTTGTTATCTAATAATCATAAACAAATGAGAAAAGTTTGCTCTTGCTTTGCTTTTAGTTTTCTTGGCATTGGTTATAAACTATACTAAACAAAGTAGAAGCATCATTAAATGAGAGTCCAAGAGACTTTTCCCTATGTATTGGGATACTGTAAAAATAACTATTATTTTTAAGGGAATGAATAGGTGGCAATCTTATTTAAGGGAATGAATAGGTGGCGCTTGAACAAAGTGAAGTATTCATTTGTGTATTAACCTTACCAGGAAAAAATGTTCTCAAGTTGGAGAAGCAAAAGAAAGTCTACATCATTTGTTAAAAAATCCTCTTTGAACCGCTTAAAGCCTACCAAGGTAGATTGCTACCTGATCCTTTATGATATGTATAATACTGCAACAACATATTCAGGTGACTTTCTTCCTCAGAAGGAAAACATGGCACCTGAACATATGTGGAGAGTATGATCCATATCAATTTTCAGAAAGAAGAGGGAATCAACAAAAGTAAGATTCAGAATCTAGAAAAGTGTTAAATAAGATGGAAAAAATAGACAATAATCACATAAGCATTAATCATACACTAAGCCATAATCTTATATGGTCTAGAAGTCCAATGAAGAGGGATATACTGTTTAAAAAATGTAATATGAATCTAGGAACTTCCTAGCTAATGGGTGAAAAAGGCTGAGTTGACAGTGACGCCATTCTCTTACCAACATTTAATGGAGGTCATTATGGGAATGAAACAATATTTACAATTGTGTCTCGTGCTGTCATTGTCAAAATCCAGCATTTTTTTGATGAAAAAGGCTTTGAATTTTACCAACACAGATAGTTATGCTATGTATATATTTTCAATCAAATTTATTGTTGTTGATTTTACCTTAAATTGCTTGTTTATAATACTTTTAAAGATTCAAAAGCTTAACGTGACACACTACAATGTGGTTTTAGATATTACTGAGCTTTCATCATTTCATATTTTTAAGTGCTGGCCAACATATATAGAAATTAATCTATATGTATTAAATTGTTTACTTCAAAGCTTGAAAAGCCAGAAAATATCATTGCTGCATCATTTTCATTCCAAATATATTATAAAACTTGCAAAGCTGAGATACATCATGTAAACAATATCTTACAAATATTACTGCCTGCCCTCCCAATTTCATTTTTGACAAACCTTAAGGACATTCTTAACATTCCCCTAACGAACCAATGAACCATTGTTGCCAAAAATCCTATGACACAACATTTGCCACCTCCAAAACCCATTCACCTACATCCTAGCTGAAGACAAAAAGATAAGTGGAAATTCATATTAAGTTGCAATGAAAAAACATAAATCAATTACACCTGACAATGAAACCCAAAGAAACAATTGCCAAAATATGTGAAAATGAAGGAAGGAAAGAAACTAAAAGGGCCACCAATTTACTCATGGTCGAAATTTGGTTGGCAAGAGGTGCAGTAAAAAATTTCTTCAGTGGTTATAAGAGAGGCTGATAGAGATGCTTTGAGCTTTTGACCTTTGGAGGAATTGAAAGCTTTTCTTCTAAACTCAACATCTAAAAGCTAAATTTTACTCTTACATAATAAAAGTAAAATTTTATAAAAGCTATCAGTCTCCACTTAGCATTCACTCGCCTGTGCACATCACATAAAAGAAGCGGGTAGTCGCAAGGACTTGCAAATCAAAAAACATAAAACTGTAATGTTAGGAAAACCCTACACTGAAGAATCAAAGTCAAACTAAAGATATAGAGTGCAAGTCATGAACAACAACTATTAATCTAAATGTTAATTACACAAACCAGTCATCCAAGCTAAGAAATGGAGAAATGGCTCCCTGCAAGTCGCTTGTGTTATTATTAATGTAAACAAAGGTAAAGGACATGGATGCATTCCAAAGAATATGCATGTTTCTCAAATGCTTGTTGCTCTTTGTGACACATTTCGAATTAATTTGTGTAGTACTACATGCATCCCACATATTCATCCATCTCCTTTGTGCACTACCACTTCTTACGTAGATCCTTGGGCCTGAGGCATCAACACAAAACATTAACTAGTTAGAAATTTAAGCCTAAACTGTGTGTACTTCTCATTCTACACCGATTATAATAGTAAAAAATAATTTGATTGGTTATAACAACAAAAAATCTTTGATCTCAACAAATGTAATAGACAAAGAGAACTACAATGGAATCATTAAGTTGGATGAAAAGAGAGATTTAGGTACAAGGGGTCTAAACCTTCAAGGAAAAATGTCAACGCACCCTAAACCACAACTTTTCTATCGTCTCGGTCACCTTCAGTGTCGATTACCCTTCTCCATCAAGTCTCAGCTGACGGTGACATAACTGCTTGAACTCCTAAACCCAGGCCTTTCTCGAGTAGTTCTTGCCGAAAGATAGGCCCTAGCCACTAATTTCCCCAGTCCCTTCTAATTGATTCATCCATGGAGTGAAGAAGACTGTTAAGAAGAAGAAGAGAATCAAAGAAATAAAGGAGATGCCTATGGAAGAAACAAAAAGAAGGAGGCGTTTAAACTAACTAAGAAAGAGGGAGAGAGACCTGGATTAGGATTCTCGACGCATCCCAGCACACACTTTTTATTGCCAACACCAATGCCAATACACGCAGCCACCATGAACTTCCTCCCCCGACAGTTACTAGAGGAAGAGCCACCAAGGAGTCACTGCACTCACAGACAGAGAGATTTACCCTCAGTTTGGATGGGAGAAAAAATTGAGAAGAAAAAAAATAAAAAAAAAGAAAATAAAAAATAAAAAATTAATAAAAAAATATTATTTCATGAACATGAGAAAATAAGAAAAAAAGAAAAGAAACATCTATTACAATGAATGCAATGCCCTTACATTAGAATATATTATTTTTATATAATTATTTATATAAAAATAAATTGAAGGAAAAGATTACATTAAAACTAATTTCATTGAAATAATTTAAAATCAAATTATTTAGTAAAAATATATTTTTTATGTTATTATATTTTAAAATCAAATAATTTAGTAAAAATATAATAACATAAAATAAAAAAAATATTATAAACTTTACCTTTTTCTACAACTAGTCCACTATAGTATTAGTTAGTTTATAGGTCTTCACTATTACAGAAGCAATGGCTGCTGCAATTCGTTGTCATGTTTTTGTTTTTTCTTGATTTATCAAAAAAAAATCAAAAACATTTCTGGGTAATGACAAGATAATTAACCCGAGCCGATGAAGAATAGTGTGGGTAGAAGTGATCCAGTAAAAAAGAAGCAGCTGCCAAAAAGAGACATACAATGATTGAAAATGAAGACGAAATGAGAGAGAGTGATGAGGGCAGACACGGTATAACAATTTCCTCTCAAAATCTTTTCAAGTATGGAGAGAAAATTTGAGAAGAAAATGTGGTAGGATGCACACTATATTTTTTCTCTTACTTTTCCTTCCTCTCACTTTTTCTTTTTCAGCCAAATAGAGAAAAACATGTTTTCTTTCTTATTTTTTCCTCACATTTTCTTTTTCTCTCACATTTTCTGTCCATCCAAACAAAGCATTAACGCTCACATAAAGGAACCTGAGAAAGAATGCGAGAGTGATTCTCGAATGCCATTAACTATTTTCAGTTTATAAAATATAAACTATAAAACTATAAAATAATATTAAATAAGAAAATGACATATCAGACTTGGCATGTGCAGAGCCCAATGCCAAGCTCACATTAGCCCCATGCCAAGCCCATGCTATTAAATGAGAAAATGATGGATCAGACTTTCCAGTCACGGAGCTCAATGCCAAGCCACGTGAATCCATGGAGCCATAACTCAAAAATGGCTCTATGAACAGTAAAATGAATCTAGAGCGACCAATTGTTGGACCCGCTTAGTGGAATTCTTTATAGGATACATTGATACTGCTGCAAGAAAGGCCGACAGGGGAAGACTCCACTTAACAACCTTCAGATTATCTTCCACTCGACTTAGAGTCTGTAATTCCCCGTGCACTAGGTGGCTTATAACTTCTCTGTTATACCAAGTCAACGCAAAACAACCTTGCAATCATGAACTACCTGACATTTTTGCATCTACGAACTGCTACAAAATCTTTGTTCATCTCTAATTTCACAGCTGATGCACCTACAGGGAATTTTAGCTTAACATTGGACTCGTGCTCTGCTGCAAATGATAGAGTTGATAACAATGCCCTTTGGTACGTGCTTATGATGTCCAGATGCTAGGCGTTCTGAAGATTGGCCAGAAAGAAATAGAGAAGTTGGAAGCAAAGATGAGGTAACAGTTGAGGTCTGAGGAGCATATGCCTCTTGAACTGACCTACTAAGACTGTGATCCTGATGAGAGGTCGAGCTAAATTGCATATCATTGCTATAATGATCTATAGAAGCTTTTCCTCGAAAATCCAAATTCATTCCCTCAGCTATACATCGATTTTGCTTTAAAATCTCATTTGAGTTCAGAGCAGTCTGCAGCACACTTTGTTTTGTCCCACTGCCAACTTTACTGCAATCATCCTTCTCTAGAGATGTTTGTTCAGATGTACCTAAACTTTCTTTGCGAGACATGATACCATTTTCCTTATTCAGAAAGGAGCAAACAGTGCTTTTGAAATTAGACAAGCGACCTTTTCCAAGTGAAAGTTAATTCCCTTAGGTGCCACCACTGGTGTTTTCTCATGATTCTCAGAGTTTAAAGCTGAGCCACATGCACTTTGGTCAGTAAGGATCCCAATTTGAACCACACTTTCCTTGTTTGGACTTTGGAGTTACCATCCCTTGTTTTGGAGATGATTTTTTGAAACATTGATGAAACTAATTCCTTTAGGGGGCATTGTTGGTGGTTTCTTTACAGTGTTTGCCGCCTCTTTTTCTGAATTGATGTGACATTGAATACCTTTTGAATCAAAGATCTGTTTTAGATGGGAAGCACTGCTGCTGCCGATGTTCAGTGGCTTACTCAATTCTTCAACTCAGATTTTCCATTTTTGAAGATGTAACATCTTGCCTGGTTGGTGTCTGTATTTAATAGATTCCATTTCAGTTAGATGATCATGAATGCTTATATTGTTCAAATGACTAGATTGATGCAAAATCTTTATTAGATCAATCACATCACATGTTACTACATCATTTACAAGTCATGTGAAATTATTGTGGTAGCTGGTGTGAAAACATACAAGCATCTCTTCTGCTGCAAGAACCTCTTGTCACTAAAATGGCGACAAGGATGCTTGGAGAGGTCATGATCAAATGGACAGTAATCACTTTTCATGCAAGAGTGACGAGCAAAATGACAGCAAGGCTGCAATTTTAATAAAAATTCGGGTTTTCTAAATTAATATAGTCTAATTAACTTGCTTCCATTACACATCACTGAACTAACTACTAAGAAGTAAATACCTTTGATTTGGTCAGAGCACTGTGTCATGTGAAAACTTGCACTTTTCAGCCTGTCAAATTGTTTTTGGTTTTTTTATTTTTTTATTGGAGATGGTATGATGCAAAAGGAAGTTAGAGTCATTAGACACTTGTCAATGTACTATCAACACATATGCAAAATATGCATCCATTTAAACTCATGCAAATAATGATCAGGGAAAAGCATTGCATCTCATGTTATGCTCCTGAATAGAAATATTGAAATTGAAGATCCTCTACATGACTTCAGACAAGTGTTTTCAGGAAATTTTCATGCACAAGAGGCTTTACGCATGAGATGCCATTATTTTTTGTTCTTCCCATAAAGAGTATGCCTTCAGCCTTAAAAGTAATCTTCATATATATATATATATATATAACTAAACAAGATAGTATAAGCTCATAATAAGCATATACCATCTTATTTTAACCAATCACAAAACTAAACATGACAACAGAAAGGAAGATCATCAAGCAATCAAAACGTTACATGCAGATAAAGAAATAACAATAAATAACTAAAATAAAACAAAGACAAATATTTAAATGTTTAAAAGTAAAGTTAACATGAGAAAATAAAAATGTTTTATTGCACAATTCACTGAAGGATGCGAGTGAAAATCAAACCTTCACTGCAGATGTGTTTTCATGATCTTCAGTGGCTTCTTCCAAAACAACTTTGGACAACATTTCTTTTTTAGCCAAAGTTGGTGGCAACCCAACAACCCCTTTAATTCCAGAGCCTTCACTTTTTCCAGTCACCAATACAGAACCATGCTCCCCTAAATCTCTATAATCAATAATCTCCCAAGAGATTCCAAGGTCAACTCCACTTGGAAACCCATTATTATCACTCTTCTTAGGTTCCATTAGTTCACTGTTACAGGTATCTTGATGAGTTGATTCAATATTTTTTTTTTCTTTGCCTTCTTTATGTATATTAAAAGGAAATACTATTTTCTTTTTTTATTAGACAGGGCATGCCAAAGCATGGGAGAGTTATGATACAGTCATCTAGACGCTAGAGCATGAGCTCTTATCTTTAAAAAAAGTATCGTAGCAACATCGGAAAACTTGCTGCAAAATCTCCATTCCCTGCTCTTCAAAGTGAGGGTTCTTCGCGAGTTGATCAGCACAACCTATAGAATCACGACCAGTGAAAATAATTTGCACATCTTCCAATCGACAAAGGACATTCCTTATCTGTTGTATGCTGAAAAATTTATCATGATTACATTCACATCTTCAAGTGAATCAGCATGAATCTTAACTTTGCTCAAATTATGTTTCAGACACAATTGTAACCCAGATTTGATCCCTTCCAGTTCTGCTACAGTTGAGGTTCCTTTGTTCCATTCTCCTTTATAGTTCCGCATAATCCCAGCACACGCTTGGTGACCCTATTCACCGAACCATCAATATCAAAGCATAAGTAGTCCGGTTCTGGGGCAGTGATTGAAAAACCGAACCGGACCGAACAGTCTGACCGTTGATTTGTTTGGAGTTCAGCTCAGTCAGCGGGTAAAAACAGTTTTGGTGTTGAGCCGGGTTGCGCTGTTTTAAACTGGTGGTTGGACCGGAAACCAAATCTGGTTTTAAAAAACCGGATTATTCAAAAAAAATTATTTTAAAAAAAAAATTGAATTTTTTTTTGAAAATGACCAATTTTTTTAATTATGTAGTATTATATTATATCATATAGCTTGTTAAGTGATGATAAATTTGATATATTTGATTTTATTTTTAAATTAAGTAGCAATTTCATATTTATTTCTTTTATTTAGATTATTATATACATATACAATTTTTTTAATTTAATTATTATATCATTACTTTAATTATTGATCCAACCAATTGAATCATGCAAACTATAAACTGTTAATATTTTCGATTTAACATTCGGTCCAGTTCTAAAAGCATTATTTTGGGGTTTCCAATATTCCTGCATAACATGATCTAGATTGAAAATTTTCTGATGGAGAGTACGTGCTTCCTGATCTTCAAACAGTCCGTGCTTGCAAATATACAGCAATGTGTCCTTGTTTGAGCTTTTTCCATGAATAGCATGATTACATCGAGCTTTCCAAAGGTTACAACAAATATTGCCAAACACCTTGTACCGGCAATACTATATTTTAAATAAAATGCTTTTGCACATCATTTTTCCTCTGTTCTATCAATAAAGAATCTGCAGAAGATGCATCAATTGAATTCTCATCCATTCTAAAGTCACCTGAAATTGGTCTCTCTTCAATGTCTTCTTCCTTATCTGGATGATCAGAAAATGATGCACCATTTGCACAAGTTATTTTTTCTTGCTGCTCTTTCTTCATGCTGCATTACATGTTTAGCATCCAAAATATCAATGTCCATTGATGGCATATCTCCACTATATTCACCCAAATCCAATATTTCACCATTCGTACGCAAAGCTAGAAATACAGGCCACCTAGCTTTTAAAGATTTGGCCCTTATGAGCTTGAGCCCTAAAATACGGTTCTCTATTTTTGGCCCCATTTCTCAAGCCTAACTCTTATATGAAGGGCTCAGGGCCGGACCTGCAACCCCTTTTGTAAAAAAATAAAAAAATTAAAATCAAATTAAACGTTATAAATTAATTAAAACATTTTGAAATTAAAAAAATTCAAAATTCTCATAATTTTTTAGAAATTAAACAACACACATTTAGAAATCTAGTAATAAAATTTAAATCTTAATTAAAAAATAGTTTATTTTTTTATAAATAGACAAACATAATAATTATAGAAAAATAAAAATCATCAAAAATTTTATACTATATACTGATAATCATTAAATTAATTTTAGAATAAATTAAAATTAATAATAATATAATGTATGTAGGATTAGGTAAGTAGGTTATTGGCTTCAAACACGTGTTTCACTAAAGAAAAAAAATAACAATAATATAACAAGGCTTGAAGGATTGTCTGAACCTGAGCTCTTCTTTACAAGGTTTATCAAGGCCAAGCCTTTAAGCCCTATCACTTTAAAAAAAAATTATTTTCAAAGCCCGAATCCTTATTTTAACAGGGCCTTCAAGGTCGGTTTTTTTAGGCTCGGCTCTCATTTTTGACTCTATTCATACCTTGATTTATGGATAAGTGTCTCATTTCAAGGACCTTCCTACCTAATGGGTCCAAGCCCAACTGGCCCAAATCCCTCTTCTTACTCTTCCTTACATGTGTCTTAGACTTAGACCAATCACTACCAATATGTTCTTCCTTCTCAAGTTCACCCTTTTCAATACCAGTAAGAGAAACAATTGCAGCACAGGTAGGTTTCGCCAATTGTATTTCATTTTGTTGTCTTTTAGACTTTCTTTTTAAAATCAATGACTCATATTTATAATATTGTACAATAATGTTAAGATTTTAAAAATTATAAAATATATCTAAACACCCCTATTGCATTATGAAATCAACTGTGAACCTAAAACTATTATCTTAAAAATATTCAAACATTCATGCTTGCTAAAATCAATTATAAATCTAAAACTGCAATTTTCTTAACAATATTCCAATACATCTGTACATGCCAAAAATAATTATAAATTCAAAATTATAGTTATTTTATAAGTTTTTATTATCTAAAAATTTATCTAAAAATCAAATAAACTCTTTTTTATAAATTATGTTTTTACACTTATAATAGATTTTGACATGTATAATGAATGTTTGAATATTTAAAAAAAATGAACAAATTGGTCCCTAAACTATAGATCCAAAAGCATCTAAGACCCTAAACTTGTCTCTTATACAATATTTTTCTCTAACTTTTGAAAATGATGCAATTTGTCCTCTACTATTAACAAAATGTAACTTTTACCAATAGCCAACCAAAAATTGATAGAAAATGACATCAAAATTTACAACAACAAAAAAGCCGAAAAAGGTATATTAAATGACTCAAAAATTATAAACAATGATCCCAAAAAATTACAGAAAAAGATTAGGAAATTATTTTGTCTATTTGTACAATTTTTTGGATCCTTTTTTGTCATTTTTTAATCAACTAATGATCAAATATTAACTTTTATTAATTATAAAGGTCAGATTGCATCATTTTTTAAAAGTTGAAGGAGAATATTATACAAAAGATTATTTTAGAACCCTAAATTCTGAACTTAGAAGTTAGGAACCAATTTGCTTATTTACCCTTTTTTTAATGTGTACTGTTGTAAATTTAAATTTTGATAATCTATTATATTTAATTGTTTATTTATAGTTGGCATATAAATAACTTTCTTCAATATAAAGTGTTGGCAAGAAATTAAAATTATGAATATTAAGAATGTTTGCTCGTGTCGTGGTTAATATATTTGACTAATTTACTTGTATAATCAAAAGTGACTGCACATCACTCTTATAATTATGAACTTGAGACTTGAAATCTATAGGCTAATGCCATCACAATTGAAAACAAGAGTACTCACCCTTATAAAGTGAAAAAGCTCCGTATGAACCCCTTTCCAAAAAAACATAATTCATGTTCTTGACAAACAAATAAAGGGTATATATAACAACAAAGAATTGTAGAAAGTCCCAAAGAGTCCCAACCTAGCTTCCCAACGAAAATCTTCTTTGCAGGTCAGGATAGTTTTTCGTTTTCTTTTTTCTTTTTTCTTTTTAATATGAAGAGGTAACATTAATCCAAAACAACAATATAAGAGAATAAATTCACAAATTAAGACCTATTTCTTTCATCATTCACCACCTCTTGGCAAAAAAGTGATTGCTGATCAAAAACACAGACTACCAACCTAATCTAGAACCTTATAAGCAAGTAAATGAGCACAATAATTTGCCTCTCGATACATAAAATTCAAATATACCACTCTTGGATTACTCGCTTGCATACACAATGATGTCTTTGAAAAGGTGTTGGCTTACATGGTTTTTGGTGAGCAAAGTAATCACCTCAAAACAATCAATAAATACTTGGACTCTTTACATCAATGTTGTTAAAATCATATTAGATCGGACGGTCCGACCGCTACCTGCTTAGTAAAACAGTTTGGTCCAACCAATCAAACCAATCTGGCATTTGACTCGGGTTGACTCAGATTGAACCAGCCAATTTTGAGAGAATCGGCTTGGACCCGAAAATCGAAGCCAGGTCAACTCGATTCAAAGCAAAAAAATTAAAAAAAAGAAAGAAATTTAGGTTAAATTGTTTAGATTCACAATTTCTCTTCTCTAAGCACTAATTCTCTCTTTTCTTCTCTTCTCTAACCTCTAATCTCTCCTCCATGGCTCAAGCTCAATCTTTAACTTCTCCTCCAACCTTTACCTCCAGTTCTAGGGATCCAATCTTTGGCTTCAAGACCGAAAGCTTATGAATTATGACATGACGGTGTGCCTCCAACTCCAGCATTTTCCTTCAAGATCACAAGCTTATACTGACAGGCCTCTACCTCTAGCTCTAACAGTCCAAACATCTAGCTTTTGGAGTCAGAATTCCAAGCACAATTGAAAAATTAATGTTTTATTTATATAGTTGCGCATATAAATATTATTTTTTATTTAATATTTGTGTTATCGGTTCGACCGTCGGTCTAACCAGTTAAACCATGAAAACCGCAACCCGTTACTCTTTCCAGTTTGATGTTCGGTCCAGGTTTCAAAACATTACTTTACATTAGGGGTGTTCAACCCTATATCTATCCAATCATCTCGGTTCCTTCTTGATCATATCAAGACAAGTCTTTCCCAGCCCAAAAAAATCAAAACGGGACTTTGCAAGATGGGTTAAGAAAGGGGTTCGAGATGGGACAAGGCACGGGATTGCCTTTGAGACACTCATCCCACTTCGAACGTTATATATATATATATATAATTTTTTATTTTAAAAGTATAATTAAATATATTAATATAATTTATATTTATATTAATTATAATTTCAATATGCACAGTTCTTATTTAAAATTAAAATTTTTTATATTAATAATTTTAATGATATAGAGTAAGCAGTATAAAGTAATAAGTTTCTCTATAAAATATTAATTATATTAATACAATTTATTTTTATATCTATTTGTTTAATTATTTTTGTTTATATCATATTTTTTATTTTATTTTCAATAAAGTCATTAGCTTAACATATCTTAACCAAAAAAGAAAAACAATGATTTGATATTATGCCTAACTTATTTGTTGACGTTGCTCTTAGTGTCCAAAGATCACTTGTAATTGATATCATAATATGTTGTGTCTCATGTATACTTAACTTTAAGTTGTGCACTTGTAATTGTGATTAATGTAATTCAATATTTAACTTTAAATTGTTTGATTTATATACTCATGTTTTAATTTTATACTTAATAACTCATGATTTAAAATTTTAATAAATGTTATTATCCAAACCTTCCTCTCGTGCAGAAAAACATATCAATTCATCTTAATCCCATCTCAATTCCTAACAGGATGAAATGACTTTTAAGATAAAATAAGATACAGACAAGAATTCAATCCCACTTATTTTTTGGAATGGGACACAAGACTTTAATCAACAAAAGTTGTAGCCTTAAATTACACTTACTATCTCAATATTTTTTTTTTTTTTGCTCTTCCACCCGATATCTTGGAGAGTGAGTATCTTGAATTTATTGCCCACCCACTCCATGTTAGACTAATCCAGATCCTCGCATAAGTTAGGCCCTTAATGTGGTGATTTTGCAGATACCACTGACGAGTGACACTTTGTGTGCTCAACTGTACATTTGCATACCTGAGACTCGAACACGAACCTCAAGTTAAGTTATCTAAACCCCTAACTACCTAAACAAGAACCCATGGGTTATTATCTCAATAATTGTAGGTGGAAATTAACCAACATTAGAATGAAATCCGGCAATCCTTTCAGATTTATTATTTAGGAGCACACCACATGGATCAGGATAGCTTTTCAACATCAATTTAGAAGCTGGTTGTTTTCCACATGCCCGAGTGGGCAAGTTGCAATTACAGTTGCAAGCTTCTTCATTTAAACATACTCGAAGTTATGCGTCCTGTATTCTATCCTCTTATATGTAAGTAAAGCACATTTCTCCTCTTCAAAGATACAATGGGAGTTATAAAACCAGGGTAATTGAAGCGAAAAAGTTTCAAGTACAAATACAGAATCGCCGCTCCTCCATCGAGAGTCAGAATTGGAGAACAATTTTGCCCAGTTACAAAGATTTCTCTGGGCAGATCCAAAAGTGTCCTCTTTCATCAATCATGAAGCCTGCAGATGAGCCATTTCACAGCGATCAAATCTAAACAAGGATGCTAAAATAGCCTCACAAAAATGCTCAACAAATTCATGTTACGACAGTTTGCTTATATTGTTCAGAAACTGATCTATGAGGTAATCATTTGGTAGGCAACAGCAAAACTGTTGGCAGAAGAGAGGATAACCCAAAATGCCAGAAAAAAGTAAAATGCAACCAACACCTCCTCCGTTAGAACAGGTTGAGATTTAAAAATCTTCCTTCTTCCTTTTCGATGCATGTCCTTGTTCACCACCTGCATTTTTTAGCTTGGCTTCTCTGCGTTCCCTCTTCACTCCTTTTGCTTTATTTGGTAAGGCCATATCTCCAATCTGAACAAAATAAAATTATGACAACGAATGATCCTTTTATTAAAGGAATAGACCAGTAACACATAAAAATTCAGCTTCCAATGGCAGGAAAGCATGGAATTCTATGCCCCCACCAAATACGATTTGTCAGTTGGGTTTTTGCCACCCAAAAAAAAAAAATTCCAAAATGCTCCATCCCAAATTTTAAGGCAATTTGAGACAAGATTACACACACCAATACAGTTCAACAATGATACTTTACAAATTTATGTTTTCAAAAATATTGCTGCACACTTAATCATTACACTACAATAATTTCCATTCTCTCACCACTTTAATAAAAAACACTATTAATGAAACTTTATTTTTGTCAAATTGTCTTATATTTTGATATAACAAAATACCTCCAAAGTTGTCTTATAATTTGAGAAAGAGGTAGTATGTAATTTTTATTTTTTTTTTGGGGGCAACATGCAAGACATGTAGTTTAATAGGTGACAAGGCGAGAACTCGCAGTCAACGTAATGAACAAAACATAAGCAGGAAATTATTCTTACCTTCTGATCTGGAATGTATATATTACCAACCTTGCCCTCTATTGCATCCTTCTTAACGTTTTTCTCCTGTAGGCAACAGAATATGCACATAGAATTGTAAATAAAACTTCACAATAATTAATTGAAATCACAGAAAATCAGGTCATCAGGCCCACCTTTTTCTTTGTTTTCTCCCTTGTAGTTTTCATGGCTTCCTTCATTAAACCTTCATTTGGAGGACGATGCCGACGAAAAACAAAATCCATGGAAGGGCCAACTTCTACTAATTCCATTCTTGGAACTACGGTGCCTGACTTTTTAAGCCTCAATGCACAGTGTGTAAGGAAGACCCTATTTGAAGACAGGGCAGTAAATACATATGCACGGTCCAATCCAGCAAGATTTATATTCTCCACAACCTAGAAACATCAGGATCATCATTTCTTTAATACCAGTCCGTTTGAAATCAGTATCTGTAAAGTAAGGAAAGCAAGGACTAACCTCTCCCCGAAAAAGATCAAGGAAGACTTCCTTCAAATGTTTAAGTTCTTCCACATTCTCGAATCCTTCTCCAATGAAAGTAATGAAAGGCTTTGACCCTTCTTTGGGTGCTAGCTTCTTATCATAAGAGAATGATTCCATGGATTTAAAATTTTCAACCCCAACTTCTACTAGATCATAGATATGGTGATCGTAAGTTCTCCCTATAATAAGGTTATTAGGTCGCTTCTTCGAGTGAGATCCATACTACAAAACACAATCAACCATTAAGAAACTACTTTGCTTACTATTTTGCCAGGAAAGAAAATCATGACTACACCTAAAGGAAGAAATTACTTGGTGAAAAAACTTTGCAGAATAGCATGGTAGAATCAAGCATCGTGATGAAACAAATAAGGATTACTAAAAATGACAGTACAATGCCATTTCTTCTTTCCCTTGCCAAAAGGGAGTCAATAGTTTCATTGATTAGCATTTTTGTTGTAATAACAACAGAAAACCACATGAAATGGAACTGTCAGTCAGAACTCTGACTGTGCTTCTACCTAGCTCGAACCATATTCTTTTGTTCATAAACAATAACAATATAAATTATAACAACAACGGGATAAATGTACAATGGAAAAATAAATAACTGAACACAGTACGTAGAGGAGGGTTTTAAGCGCACCATGAAAATGCTGCAATCCGTTTTAAGTGAAAAGAATTCCAGGGAAGTCTCGCCACCACTTTCAAATGGCTTGATGTTGTCATTCTTACGGCTATATTTTACAGCACTTTCCCTCTTAAGGTGATATATCTCAGAAAGCACGGCATTCAATATGCTGCTTGTCTTCGTCCCGTGCAATATAAGTGTCTTCTTCCCTGATTCAACCTGAAAAACACAATCATTACTAACACGTGCCACCAAATTTTGACATAAAAGTACACCTAGTGCAAAAGCTAACAGTAATATTTTCATGGCAAGAAACAAATTAACCAGAACAGAAAGAGGAAGCAATGAGGTACTCACGAGTTTGGGAGCACGTTTCTCAAGCTCTCGTTTACCCTTGCGAGTCTTGGCCGTTTTAATTTCCACCATGGTTGAGAGCAACAAACAGCAAGTGAATATAACCAAGAGTCTGCAATGATAATAAAAACGCTACTCAGTAAATACAGCAAATAGATAAATTAATAACAATAAGAGCTCACCAGAAAAATGAGACATCAAAATATTTATCATAATAGATCAATTCAAAATATAACGCAAAGTATCTGGAGAAGAGATACCCTATAACAGGCGTGAAAGTTCAGTTACCTAAAAAGTTGGCTCAGTAGATGGGAAGGTCCGAAGTCAGCTAATGCACAAATTCATGCACCAGTTCATAAGCTTAGTAGAAACACCCCACAGACACTTAACTACTGCTTAACAAATCATTTGTGTTACTTGACCACTTTCTCGTTTGCTACCTAATTTGTATTCTATCTTAATTCTAGATTCTAGAAGCGCAAACTTTAAATCACATCCTAAAATATGAATCAGAAAAATAATTGCATTTTACCATTAAAGAAAAAGGTGGTATACCCCGAAACATTCATCGGTCGATCACAGCAAAAGCACGTCTATATCTTTCTAATCATGTTTCGTAAATAAATTACAATTAAACGGAGGACATAGAAAGTATACAACGAATTCAAGAAACCAAATTTCAAGAGGAAAGAAGTAAAATCCGAGAGATGAGTATTACGCGTAGACATAAATACGTAAACTAAAATCAAATCCTGTGTATTTGCGACGCAAAAGATAAACAATTTTTGTACCTGTATAACGTTAATGTGTCTACTGAGTTTCCTTGGGGAAGAAGATGTAAAGAGTAACCGATGTTGCGGCGGCCGAGCAGAGAGCTTCAGGAATGATAGAAGAAGGCGAGGCGAGGAGTAAGATGAGAAGAGAAGACGAGATTGAATAGAAGCTAAAATGGGATCATATAGAAGTCCAAATTGCAGAGACTTGCTGCCGGTGAAGCAGGAATCGCAGAGACGACCTCGAACTCGCGGAGAAGAGAAGACGAGGATCGAGTGTCGACTGAGTGGGAATAAAAGTGAAGGTTGTATAATTAGGGCAAAGAAAGGAAGGATAGGATTGTCCGAAAAAGTCATAACCATGTATAATTTGGTCATTATACCCCTGATCTGTTGATGGAAATGGAATAGCCATTGCCTCAAGTGATGGAATGGGTACTCCCATACACCAAGCGCCAAGATTGTTCATTCCTTCTCCCCTTTCCACTCCATTTCCATCTTATTCCTACGAACTAAACATGGCCTAACGGATTGGGCACAACGGGGCTTCCCTCCTCCAACCTCTCCTTCCTCAGTTTTCATCTTTTTTGATATTTATTAAAGTAAACAATTTGAAAAAAAAATCTGGTCACGCCAATGAAGTATTCAAGTTTAAAATGAATTGTCTAAATTTAATATTAGAAAATATGAATAGTCTAAATTTAAACTTATAGTCTAAATTCTTATTTTTATTTTATATTTATTAAAATAAAAATTTATAAATAATTTTGATAAAAATAATCACTAGTTTGTACAGTTTAGCTTTAATACAAATTGTCCAAATTTAATATTAAAAAGTTTTACATTTTTTTAAATTGACTATCATATATAGTTTGAATAATGCAGACTTAATATTAATTTTTTTAAATTTTTAATAGTAAATTTAGACTATATATGTCAAATTTTATTTTTTTTATAAATTTTATAAATTTTTTATTTGAATAAATATAAAATAAAGATAGGAAAAATTTTAGCAAAGTACCAAAGACGTGACATAATAATAAAGAAGGATCATTCAAATTTAAAATTTTAATTCAGTCTAAAAAAACTAAAATGAAATTAATGTCAATGATCAAAAGGCCTAAATGGCGTCATGATCAAATTGCGTGTGATAGTGGAGACAACACTTCTTTCGAGTAGCAGCACGAAGACAGTGCTCACTTCAAAACTAAGTCACTTCCATTTTCACCTTTCCACGTAGAAAAAAGAATCACCCTAAAAGCCTATCTGTTTCCACTAGTAAGTTTGAATAACTAAGCAGATAGCAAAGGAGAATGATTTTATACTAATTGGTTTTCACCTGGCGCACTATAATCTTATCGAGCAGACTAGAAGGTGAGGTCATGTAAACATAAAACGATCATTGACGCTCTCGATCCCAACCAAAAGAAGGAAGATCAGTAAGGCTATCAAACACTAGCTTGTCAATGCTTTGCTAATTTCATATCAATGCTCCTTACAACATCTTGAACTCCTGATTTTGGAATTAAGTGTTAATAGAGGTGAATTAGTAATTTCATGTGTGATTAGGGTTTTGGATGATGAAATGTTGTTTTGACCTTTTGAGATGTTACATGGATAGATATGAATAGAAAACAACATTGTGAGGTAGAGCATGTGAACACGGTGAGGAGTTTCCTCATTATGCCACACGCCTAGGCTAGTGTTGGATGCACCACTGTGCATGATGCAGAAATATGATAGATAAGAATGTGAAGGACTCGTGAAGACAGAGGGAGAAACATAGAAAAGAGTCACAAGAGAGTGGAAGAGTAAAAGCTCTACTAGGGCAAGCATTTTTAGGCACAAGGATGACGTTTCTAACCTATTACTTACTGAGTAAGTCTCATACCACCATAACCTTTAATTTTATACTAATTTCTCTTAATTTAAACTATTGAAAAACTAAATTTAAAAGTTCTAAGAGGTTAATTTCTTACCCTATAATAATAAAAAAGCTCTTTAGAGTTAAAATAGGCTCTTTAGAGTTAATTTCTTACCCTATAATTTGGAAGAGTAATTGGTTTGAGCTTAAACATTAAAGCTTTAAAGTTATAGGCTCAAAATAGTCAAATTTAGAGAGAGAAAATAGGTGAAAATTGGGAATAAGCACGTTAATGCTTGTAAGGAGTGGTAATTATGTGTAATATGTATGAATGGACTTAGATAAAAGAAATGATAGCATTTAAGTGTTTAATTATTATAATTGGTACTTTTAGTCAATATGACAATTGACTTCGAGTGTCAATTTTGTATAGATTGTTGTTGGTAGCATGTGAATCGAGCTAAAGAAGTGTGAATAAGGAAGTATACCACGGGTAACTTTTTTTAGGAATAGAAGGGTTGGGGTAACTATATAGTTTGTTATATTTATTAACTATTATAATTACGTAGGAGTAAATGTACAAATGATGACTTAATGTTTTTGTGAAATTTTGTGATGAATATTTTACAATGAGCATGGTTTTAGCATTCAAAAGTATTTTGAAAAGCTTGATGATTTGTTAATGACATTTGAACGAAATGAATATATATATATATATATATTATGATTTATGGAAAAGTAGTGATCTGTGCATGATGAAAGCATGATAAAAGAGGGTGGGAGTTCACCTGGTGTGCATGTGGGTGTGTGTTTAGAGATGTATGAAAATAAATTCATATGGTTAGGCTAGCACTATAGAACATCCGATGCAACCAATTTTAATGGGCTAACACCATGATACATCTAATGCAGCATGATATTAGGACTGTTATCATAGGAAATTCAAGCAGTATGGAAACTCCCTAGTACCCATAAGGGTGCAGTTAGGAGTTAGTAACACCCTTATCACAACTGTGTGTGAAGGGGGAAACCATAATCTGAATGTGGATAAAATACCTTTGGCTAGGTGTTTCTACTATTGAATGTGTGTTGGTTCAATATGTGATTAATCTATTAAAGCCTATGGTTTCAAGTCGAGAAGCTTTGGAAGATCGGCGGATAGATGATCATGCTAGTAGTTGTGATTGTGCAAAAACATTTAGAAAGAGGAAAATTATGTTTATATTTGATATATGAATTATCACTTTGATTTTATTTACTTATATGTGGTTATTTGTGTTAATGAGCATTCAATGAACTATTTTAGTTATTGAGTTTGTTATTCACCCATGGTTATTTACATTTTTTTTATAGTTTCTGACATTAGTGGTGTGAAAGGGAAAGATTTAGGTCGAGATTAGAGAGATTTTTTCGTTGAAGCCCATTATAAGAATTGGTATGATGACTTTAAGATATAGAGTATGCTTGTATATATAAATTGTCGTAAGAACTTGTGCATGTGCATAGTTTTGTGAATATGTATGCATGTGTAACTTTTGAATCCTAGCCCTACTTGGTATATGTGTGTGTGATATGATTGTAATGTTTGAGGCTAGAAGTTGATCATATATACATATAAGTCGAATGAATATGTGATAAAAGAGAATGTTTGGCCAACAATGTGAATTTATGTGGAATGAAAAGGTTGTGCCCAAATGTGTGTGAAATGGGCGATTTACCAGCTAAACTGGTTTATATGTGTAATATAAAGTATAAAAATGGTCAATCATGTATAAATTATCCCATTGGATATGGTCAAGGTCTTAAAGTGGCCAACGACTTATGATTTTCAAATGGTGATGCTCAAGTGAAAGATTTTGACTTAAAACAGTCAAAATGCACTCGGGTGTCCAACTTTTAAATGAGATATCAGATTTAAACAAAACTAGTGTCCTTGATTAGATTTTAAAACAAGCTTGATATGGGTGTTTGATGCACCTTAATCAAACATCAAATGTAAAAAGCGCATGTCCAAAGTTCACATCAGATCTATTGTTTTGGCAGTAGAATTGATGTGTGCGCCACAACGCGTGTGTCAACTGTTGGAAATTATTCCCTAAAGCCAATCATTGTATTATGAACATTGTTATTTAATGAATTTCTCTTTTGTTATCATATTAATTGCACGTTCACTATAATGATTTTCCTAAATATCCTTAATCGGTCATCTATAAGGGATCATAGATGAAACAAGACTAATATGACTTTGATTAATTATAGAGATATAAGTCAAAGTTGTAGGTACTTGAAAGTGTTCTAGGTGCTGGATTAACCCACTATGAGAGAGCTGCATAGGACAAGTCATAAGCTTATCTCATATGTAACATGTCACTAAGCCTTTTGACTTGAGATCATCATGGATTCCTACATGATGACCACAAACTGTGACCTAGTCAAAATTTACCTGTAATCGAGTGATCATGAAAGCTATAATTGAATTTAGTAATATTCACGCAGAGGAATATGAGTGGTCAAGGTAAAATTTGTCCCTCACATTAATTGAAAGATATTACTGGGCCTCTCGATGTGTAAGACTGAGAAAATATATGGCCATACTATAATGGAAAGGATTTTTTTCATTATTATAGTCAATTCACTTAGAAATCAGAAAGTAATAGTCAGGTAAAGGAAAATGACAATTTCATGTCTCATACTTGATCGAAATATTGTGTGACAAAAGATGTGATATAGTTATATAATAGGTTACATCAATTATCAATCTTTATATGAATTGGATAATCGCAATGTCTTACTAGAGGCCACTTATGACTTGTGGGCTAATAGTGTTATTGGCCTACTATCAACTTCATATAGGCATACAAGGTCACATACAAGAACAGCTGTCGCACCTGAAGATACAATGCAGAGGGCTCATAAGAGCGAAGGTTTCGGCTTTTGCAGCGAAAATTGGTTGCATGGGAGCCACCACCAAAAGTTTGAAGAAAATATTGGAAAATCATTTAAAGGAGAATAAAATAGTTGTGAAATTAGAAAATAAGTTCAGGAGTTAATTGAGTGTAGGGAAGGTGTTAGGCATCCCACAACACCCATTCGTGAGAACAGTTACCTAAAATTTGTTGTACTAAATTAATATAGCTTTACAAGTATTTTAATTATCCATTTCTTATTTACATGTTTGATATAAAATGATAATAATTAAGTGAGAAGTATTTATTTATTTATAAGGGAGGACTTGACTCAGAATCAAGCTCTGAGGCCTATGTATCTTGTGATGGGGATCAAAGTCCACGTAGTTCAAGATTATAAATTGTCGGTGAAATATTTTTTTGAAAAAAATTAATTAGAAATAATTCACCATTTTGCAAATAAAACAATTTCCTAAAATTTTGATATGTATGTTTTAAATTTCAAAAAGTAATTTAATTT